CCTAAAAAGAAAAGGCGACAGATTTGGACAAAGACATGGCTGAGCAAACGTGGCTACTACGATCTGTCAATTTTACAGCAAGAACTCCATTTCAAGCTATGCTTCTGTGTTTTCATCTTAGAGGAAGAAGAACAAGAATCCTTGTTTGCCCACTCAGCGATTTTCCCACCACCACCTTACGATGTTGAACTGAATTTCAAACATGTTTGATTTTCTCCCGACCTTACGATTCCTGATCGAGAGGCGGTCGTGTGAGGCTGATCGCCCCTCGTTACCTCCTGTTCACTACACGTCAAACAGCTGAAAGTCTGCCAGATAGAAAAATTCCTGCACAACTGGAGAATCAGCCCGAAAAGGGCAAAAAACGCTTATTCCTGGCTTAAGTTGGTTCTTTTACTTTTAACAGCATTCCAAAAAAATACTGTGTGTTTTTAGATCCTTTACAGAAAAGAAACTGTGCTCTGCTAAATGTGGTTCTAGTAACTGGACCCGTAATGAAAACATTCAGGCAGAAGCACTACAGTGAGAAGAGGGGAGTAATAAATATAAAAATTAAAAATAACACCATCTTCAGTCATTTTTATTATTAAACTTAAGTTAAAAATAGAGAATCGATTAATCGGAAAGAAATCTGAGATTAGGTTTTTAAGCCTTACTGCTCAGCTCTAAATCCAGGCAGTCCAGCTGTTCATTAGCCTATGTAATCCCAGGTAATATTTAATCCTATAAGACAAACCTCTCACTTTAAGAGGAAAAACTCCTCCTGCTCTACTTTAGTATAACTTTCTTTCAAAAGCTGTCCTGAGTGACAGTTTAAGAACGCAGTCTTACATCTTCATTCAACTACTCCTTTATTATTAGTACTGTTTCAAGCGCTTCACTGCAATGCCATTAAAAGGTGGTGACTAGAGAGAAAAATACATCTGGCTAAACTATCCCTTATTTTGCATTTTGTCTGTGTCTGAAGACATCTTGTGCTGCATCCTTTTTTTATTTATGTTGGCAAAAAATGGGAAAAGATGAATGGTGCACTAGCTTAACTGAGAATAAAAAAAAATAGTCACAATCATTATGTTTATTATTTGGCCATTACTACATTTATTGATGCTTATAACCAGGTAACAGTTAGGAGCATTTTGGATGTCTAACCAAATATTACCTTTAATTTTAAAGGAAATTAGAATATTCAGAATTCAAACTTCTGAAAGTACTTTAAAGGAATAGTACACCCAAAACATGATTAGCCTTCATTTTCTACTCACCCCCATGCTGAACAACACTCTGGAGTACTTTTTTGATATCTCAAATGGATCTGGAGATCTGGGAGGCTTCTTGCTGTCTGCTGACATTCAAATAATGGAGGTCTATGGTGCCCGAGGCAGAAAGGTCCATAAAAGTCCACAAAAAACATGTCAATATTCCTCCATACTGCTCGTCCAATGTATTCCAAGTGTCCTGAGTGGGTAGCATCCAGAATTTACTCGAAACGAAGTCATCAGACATGTTCACAAGTCATTTTTTGCAAGTCAAGTCTCAAGTCTTGAGAGCTCAATTCCAAGTCAAGTCTCAAGTCTTGAGAGCTCAAGTCCAAGTCAAGTCTCAAGTCTTGAGAGCTCAAGTCCAAGTCAAGTCTCAAGTCTTGAGAGCTCAAGTCCAAGTCAAGTCTCAAGTCTTGAGAGCTCAAGTCCAAGTCAAGTCTCAAGTCTTGAGAAGGCCTGTCGCAATAATCAATTAATCGCACAAAAAATTCTAATCACTTGATTCATTTAAAAAAGTGTAATAATTTTCGTGCTTGCTTGTTTCTCCTTGTGTTTTCATCTCCGTCACTGAGACGGTATAGCTTAAATATCTATGGAATGATCATTATCTTGAACTGCTAAATGAAAAATACAATTAAAAAAAGCACACGCAAAATTTTTTTCCAGATAAATTTTGCATTTTCTTACAGTATTTACCTGACATTTGAGGTTACAACTTTTTCTAGTTTTAGCAATAAATGTCTGCTCTTTTATTGAAAATGAGGACTGTGGAAAAAAAAACAATCACAATCCTGCCGTCCACGTACTGTTGCGTCAGTGACGTCAGTGTGTTGCACAGGGAAAAATATGATTTATGGTTTTCTTTCATTTAAATGTTAGTTTTATGCTTTGCATGTTTGGAGAGGAAGATATGATTTGTTTTTCTTTGTATTTTCTTCTTGAGCTTTGCATGTTTTGATGTTTCTTTTTTTTATGATTGTTTTCCTTTATTTTAGACTTTTGAATTTTTCCTGCATGTTGGGTTGTTTTGGTTTGTTTTTCCCTTGTGACAATCCATGCGCACTTGACTGAAGTAGTTGTCTGAGGAGGCATTAATTGCGCTGCTTAATGCTGCGCTCAGGTGTGAGCAACGGCTGATTAAAGCCGACATAAAAGGAGTCTGAAGGAAAGGAGAAGGAGAACGGAATCTGCAGGTGACAGAGACGGACGCGCTGCCAGGGGAGATGCAGGTGGGATCCGTGCGCCATGAGGGCGCACAGATGGCCCAGTAAGAAGTATTAGGGCAGAGGAGGAACCTCGCCTGTAAGTAGCGCTCCCCCTCGCTTAAAGCATAAACAGGAATATATCTTCCGACGGGGTTTTTGCGCGTGGATGCTGGCGTTCTCCTTGCTTCTCTTTTTAGCTGGATCGGTCAGGAAAGGGGTGTGGCACGCCAGGGAGTGGAACAGTGCTGGAGTGCCGCAGAGTCTGTGGATCAGCCAGTGGGTGCTGCAGGCCGATCACTCGCACCTGAAGCAGCATAACAAGCGGAGCCCAACTTCCAGCCTGTGATTTTTAAGGAAAACTCTTGAATTTTAGGTTTTATTAGGAGAAGAAAAGGACTGTTTTATTATGCCACTTTTGCTGTGGCTTTTTGTATAAATAAAACACTTGAACCTGAGTGCTTCACGGTTTGGGTCTTTGAGTTTTTTTTTTTTACCTCTTCTGTGTGCGGGTAAGGCGAGCGGCGATCAGTCAAGTTAGTAAAACAAAAAACACTTTAATAAGTGTTTTTACACTGGAATAAAATATTGTTCACAAGTTGGAAATCACGAGTCTCAGTCGAGTCTGAAGTCCTTTAAATGCAAGTCTAAGTCGAGTCTTAAGTCATTAAATATGCGACTTAAGTGCGACTCGAGTACGAGTCACAAACTCGAGTCCCCATCTCTGGAAGTCATTTAGAATGTTTAGAATGTAAACAGTAGTGTATAGGATTTCCTAAAAGCGCGCGCCTGCGCGGCAGACCAAACCAGATGAAAGTGCGCATTCAGCTCGGCAAAGAATTCATGCTTTTCCTCAACACTGAAGTCCTCAGACATTTTTCTTTCGTTGTTTCTTTCTTTGCACAGGTAAACAGCACATTTCTTCTTCTATGCTTGCATTATCGGCAGAGCAGTGTACCTGCATCTGAAGCATAAATCATACCATATATGAAGGTGATGCAGAAGCAATCACTATCAGCAAGTAGTACACCTTTCCATGGTTTTTAAAAAGGTAAAAAATCTAATGCCTGTTACCCACTATTATCCTGTATTTAGAGTTATTTCCACAGTGCAAAGGTTTTCAACATTTCGTCCCTTAGATTGTTGCTGAACAGGAATGTTTTTTAAAGGAGAAGTCTGGTTATATTCAGAATTCAAACTTCTGAAAGTACTTTAAATATGAAATTATTACAAACTGTTCAATTAATAATAAGGGTTTTTGATTAAGAGTAATTTTAATGTGAATGTGCTTTACTGGAGGCATCCATGTTTGTCAAAGAACACTACTGCCACCTACTGGTTTGTGACGTCACTGTGCGGTATCGGCTGTTGATCAAGTCCCAGTGCTGTATCTGGTGTTTGTCACAACGCGCTATTATTCAAGTAATCTTGAAAACATTCTTCTTGCAAATGTTGGCTACATATTACGGGTTTTTTCTCTGGTCAGAAGTTCGATGTCAGGATTTAGAAAGGTGAAATAACAAATGTCATTGTTTCCACTTTTACCCGATGTATTCCAACATCCAGCTGCCATGCACGTGGGCATTGTCAGTTTCACTATAGCTCTGGTGAATTTCAATGGTGAAGTCCTCTGGAAATCTTCAATAATTGTTGTTGATTGCAGATGTGTCTTGTAGTTCCCATTGATTTAGCTTGTAAAGCGGGGAGAATGGCGCTAGGCTTACCGCACCGTGACGTCACTGCTGGAAGATGGCAGGAGGGAGGGGCTACTATATTTGGGCAAAAATGGCAGCTCCCAGACTCTGTGATCGCCACGAAAATTATTACCTTTATTTTTTTACTGATTAACGCTAAATTAATGAAATCACTGCGAACATATTAATTTTAGGTATAAGTAAGGATCCATTGATGATCCTTGCTGAGCGGACTTTTCCTTTAACACCAGTGCAACTGTGAAATTTCTGGCAGAGCAGCAAATGTGCTTTTACCTGAACAGTAGTGTTTAATGTTAGGCTTTATGTGGTAGTTTAATGAGGCTTTGATATTTTGGGCAAAAAACTGGTTTTGATCCCATTGTATGATGGATATAGTAGATTGTCTTGGAGACGTGCAGTGGAGAGAAAGGACATAACTGAATACAACCGACCGCCTGCTTCACACTCACCCCAACACTGCACCCTAGAGCTATACCTACAACTCTGTCTCTCTGCTGCTGCTGCTGTCTATTTTTATCTGTGGCTCCTCCTCCACTACAGCAGACTATTTTCAGACCAACTCCCTCCATGAAGCACCATCTCCTTCTCTTCTCTTCTCTTCTCTTCTCTTCTCTTCTCTTCTCTTCTCTTCTCTTCTCTTTTCTTCATCAGTGAAACATGTTTAGAAGGGAATGTTTAAAGCTCCTTGTTTTCCTGCTCAGCTTGTGTTCCTTAGTTGAAATAAAATTAACTGCTGACTATTCTTTCCTTCTGTCTGACTTCTTTCCTACCCAGTGATCCACTTAATGCCACCTCTCTCTCTCTCTCTCTCTCTCTGCCTCCCCCCTCCATCCATTCACCAGCCCGTAGAGCGTCACAGACACACTCCCCCATATACTCCAGTGACTTTGATGCTGCGAATAATACCTATCTGATTGGATCAAATCGGCTTTCTGATCAGGTTTTTAGGGAAGGAATCAGGATTCTCCGCTTCGGTCCTCCAACCCAGCTGCCCTGTTCTCCTTTCATGCGGTCTCCCTCTCACTGCCTTTTTCTCTGAGCCTCGTTCTAATTTTGGAAACATGGAACCTCGGGGAGTGCTCTTTCAAAGCTATTTACATCTTTGCTGCTCTTCCTCCTCCTCTAATTCTCTCTCTGTCCTCTTCAGCAAGGAGGGGAACAGCGAAAAGATCCTTTGATGTTACGGAGCAGGGGGAACTTGGCTTCTCCTTCGTCTGGGAATTTTGTTGTTGTTCGGCTCACAAAATCAGTCATCGGGAGGGGATTGATATGAACCTGGTTTTCCTTTGTTGGGATTTTTGACCCAGACCAGCCACCGCAACAGAATGAACAAACTTTCCTTCCTTTTGCTAAACACTGATGGATAGCTCACCAAGTTCACCAGCCGTTGTCACTGTTTTCAGGAGCCAGCAGAGGATTTAGGGAGATCTATGGAAGCCTGGTCTCTTATCATTTACTATTACTCTAATCCCCTAAATCCCATTGGAGAGAGAACTTCCTGGAAACCATACCTGCTTTGAAGAAGAAGAGGAATTAATTAAGGTGTCGGAGACCAATCAAAACAACACAAACCAAGCAGCCACAGAAGTCCCAAGCAAATCTGCGATCCCAACCGAGGCTGGATTACGCAATAAAACACTTGTGCTTGTGTTTTTTTTTTTTAACTTGATGGGGCAGTTAAGACCTAATTGAGTATTTTTGTTCCACAATCTGTGGCAGATTTAGCCTCTCTTAAACTATGCTGCTACATCTGAGGTGCAGCTGACTGCTTTCCCTTCACCTACTTAAGCAGCAGTTTTTTGTCCTGGCATGCTGGTGCATCCCACAGTGACAGGATTGTGCACCATGCTGCAGACCATCTATGAGACTGAATCCTGTTTTTCCACTGGCAGCACAGACAGCCGCCACAAGCCTCTGGAGCTCCTCAACGGCAGCAGGGGCACTGGTGCTGACATGACTGCTGCTGGTGAGTCATCTCTGGGAAGGTAGAGGTGGGGATGTTAGAAAATGGTGTTTGATGAAATGAATGAATGCATTTGCCTGTTTTAAACAAGCCTTTCATATGTGAGATTATAAAGTGTTTGTATATTTGATTGATGGAGTGGGGTATGAGAATGTAGCTGGCTGGCATTCTCTAATAGAGAATGGAAGATTTGATAGGGTGCAGTTTTAGGAGGAAACCCGCAGGTCTTAGATCCCATGTGGAAGAGGCAGGTGTGTGATTCTATTTCGGACACTTAATAAGCATGAACAGCGGTCAGTCTTTTGAGCTGTAACTTACAAAGTGGCTCATGAAGGTATTCATATACCTTTATTTCTGAATTCAGTGGTGTTAGAAAATGTGAAATTTATGATGTGCATTTGATGCAGCCTCCTTCCCTATGATGTGCCAATATAAACCCTTTTACCTTGAGGAGTCACTTAATAATCCCTATGTTGGAGGGGGAAAAAAAAGAGTAAAATTTAACCCTTAAGACAAGGTATAGAGGACAATCTTTTATTTGTGGGTGGATCGTCCAAATAAATGTTCCTCCTAATTGTGAGTTATTCTGGTGATATGTTTGTGTATAGTCATCCTACCTGCCCGTCCCGTTAGTTGTTTTTTTCTGCGCATGCGCACTTTCAGCTGCGTATATGTGTTGTGGGCTACGGTTTCAGACAGTCATTGAAGCTCACCTTTCTCAAGGCGGTTCCTTGAAAACGGTGAGCGTAGATAAATTGTCTACCAACTTTATGAGAAGAAAATCAAGGCCTCAGAAGAGGCAGATATATCCCAGAATGCTTTGCACGGAGAGCTCTCATCGCAAAGCATTATGGGATTTGCTGTCATAGCGGCCTGCTGTCGCAATAGGCTTCTTCTACCCAACAGTGACGACTAATAACAAAAGTGGCCGGGCACCGCATGGTGGAGGAGGAGTTACGTGACCAACGGAGCAAAAAGCAGTGATCATCTGCCCACAACAGTCACTTAAATTAATTCACTATAAATTCCTCTATATGATGAACTCTATATAGTGATTGAGGGATTTAGGGGTTAGTTTTTAGACACAGTAAGCTTGTATAAGGTATGAGAACAGCAACTTTTGAACCGGGCGTGCACAAGGACAAAATGGGCTTGTGCACGCTTTCGCACGCATTTAATAGGCGATCCCTCTCGGGGGCGGGTTCAGGGTTGGGCATATCCCTTATTTTTTCTTAAGTGGAGAGGGTGGGTCTTTTAAAAAAATCATCCTCCACAATACCTTTCACACAGCAACATCCTGAAAAAACATGGTGGTTGCAGCATCCTGTTGTAGGGCTTCTTTTGCATGAGTGAGGTAGCTGCTCAAAGTTGATGGACTTAATATGCAAAAACAGCATATTCTGCAGAATTTATTGGAATGGTCTCATCAAGAACATCATATACACACCAGCACATTTTTAGGGATTCCTTTTTAATTCAGTGGATTCTGAATGTTCATAGCCCTTGATATTATTTAAAGATAATGCAGTTTTTCTTACTGGAGGGAACTAAACAATTATGTCTTTGAAAATAAATCTAAATAAATTACTTTAGTGTTTATTAAAAGAAAAATGGAAGCATGATTTTTTTTTATTTGCAAAAAAATCATTCATTGCTTGCCTATTGCTTGATTTTCGATGCCTGCACAGATTAAGGTCAAACGTATCAAAGTTGCTGCTGAAGCGCGTCCAGTAATGTGTGTCCAGATGGTTCCGATGATTCTGCTGCTCCTGTGTTCAATGGCAGAGTGGCTTCGCTGTATTAGCTGTGATCAGTGGGTAAAACATAGAAAAGTGTTTTCAGGTGAGAGAGTCCACCTGAAAATATCATCTGTGCAGACAGTTCATCAAGATTATGATCCTACCCTCAACTATTATTTGACTGTAGGAGCTACTCAGACCCCCACATCCCGGAGGTGCACTGTCACTGGGAATCCCCAGCAGCTGCTGCCTCAGGCCTTTTGGGGGTTTTCCCCTACTGTTTGTGGCGGCTGGAAGTAGATGTTATGTTTTTCAGGCACCAGGATAATAAAAGTGAACACATTTTGCTGGCAGGTTTCGACATTTTAAGTGAATTTAGGTGTAAATAAACTGTTTCATAGGAGTGATCATAACGACCTGCATTAGAGGTGCTGTGTCTGTCTCCCTGACAGCTCCCAGTTCAGCTACTCAGATGCTTCAAGATGCGCTGCTCCTGCTGCTCTAGATGCACTGCTGTACCTTTGGATGCACCTTAATGTGCATCAACCATAGACTTTACAGGGAAACCAGCTTCTTCTGCTACTCAAAGTGCGTTAGGTTTGAACGTAGCATAACAGTAATCTTAGATTAAATTCTTTTGTGGAGATGAGGGTTATAATGTACCTGCATCATGGCGACTCGATTCAGTATCGATTTCCTGACCCAGCGATTCGATTATTTTTGATACTCAGGAATACACCACGGTATGATTCGATTCGATTAATTGGTTCTATTTTATTTTAATTATTTTTTTACACCTTACAGGCTAGAAAATTTTTCAAATTTGAATTAAATCAATGAAAGCTGCAATAAGGTTATGCTTTTTTTTTTTTTTTTTTTTAGAAACAACAGCAAATAACAGAAGTAGAAAAGTTTTACTCCACCTGTTCCTAATAAAACCTCATTCACTGAAAAATAATAATACCTCTGTGATATAGATTCTGAAAGGCCTTGCATAAAAAAATACTGCACAAAATCATTGCACTCATTGCACTGATTTTGTGCAGTATTTTTTTTATGCAAGGCCTTTCAGAATCTATCTATCAATACCTGGGCTCCAGAGTGTTGACGTCCCCGCCCCCTCCACAGACGCTCTGCTGCACCTCTCCCAAATTGTAGCTGACCGCAGACAGGAGGCCGGCTTATTTGGTTTTTATGACCGAAATTGCGGAAAACAACTCTTGAAGTTGGACCCACTGAGAGCGAGGTGCTCGAGAACACTGGGACCCTTTTTCCACCTGGATCCCCGCTCTTTTTGGTCCTCATGTCCCTCCGTAGTCAGACTAAACTCGCCCCCACTTCCTCACCGCCTCGGCCGTATCTAGACCCCCAGCGTAGCACAGACCACACTTCAGTATTGAGCATAAATCAAAAATGTCTGTGTCAAGCTCACTGTGACACACTGCTGTAAGAGTATAACGAGGAAGCGAGGTAGGAGGGAAAAATAGGTTTAGCGCCACCGCAGCACGGGAGGGAGAATTACGTCCAGGAGCAAATGGATAAAAATAGACCAGAGGAAAAAAAAAAACATGAATCGATTCTCTTGCAGACGTATCGATGCATCGAATCGTCGGCTGTTGGATCAATGCATCGATACAAAATGATTATTATTTACACCCCTACTTTACTGGAGGCATCCATGTTTGTCAAAGAACACTACTGCCACCTACTGGTTAGTGACGTCACGGTGCGGTATCGGCTGTTGATCAAAGTCCCAGTGCTGTATCTGGTGTTTGTCACAACGCGCTATTATCCAAGTCATCTTGAAAACATTCTTCTTCCAAATGTTGGCTACATATTACGGGTTTTTTTCTCTGGCCAGAAGTTCGATGGCAAATCCTCCCTCTTCAAGTTGGCGATCCAACGACCAACCCGTCCGTGGAGGATGCCTCCAGTAAAGCACATTCAAAGAAATTACTCTTAATTAAAAACATTTATCAGTTATTGAACAGTATGTAACAATTTTACATTTAAAGTACTCTGAGAAGTTTGAATTCTGAATATGATGATGGGATGTTGTACTTTCCACCACACACAGGATCACGATTTCACAGCACTTGACTAAAACACAATCCCTGTGGTACAGTGAGAATAATATTTTTTGTGTTTTTAAGTACAGTAAAGTTCGAGGTTTTAATTTGCAAAATGATAAAAAGTCATGAGGTCTTCAACCTCATGCAAAACACTGTATGTTAGTGTTATAGAAAAGGCAAAGGAGAGGACCTAAAGAGCTGTGTTCATCAAACTAAGTATAACTGAATAGATGTTTTCAAAGATATTATGAGGGCTTCAACCGAAAACACAATACCAGTAGTGGATGACCTACAGTTTACCAACCTACCCTAAAGTCTCTATAGCAACAGCTCTCATGAGGCCTCTTGTCTCTGTCTCTTAGCTTCTAATTTGTCTAAAGTACACACGGCTATTATCCTATTTTTACCGCACTCTCGGTCTTGCTAGCTCTATTCTCCCTCTCTCTCCCTTAGCTGAGTGTTTTGCAGGGCTGACGTCATGGAGCCTATTTTCTTTTTGCAAAACAAAATGAGAAAGAGAGTAAAAGCGAGGAGGTTCTGAGGTAAGAAACACCGGTCTCCAGAAATACCTCCCCTGGCAGCAGCAGTGTGACTGACTGAAAACAAAAAGAGCACAAAGAAAAATGTTGCCTTTTTTTAGATCTGCACACATTTGAATTTACCTGAGAGTATCTGAACACTGCATCTGTGTGCAGACTCATGCAGATCTAGCCAATCCATCGATATTTTGGATTGGTTAAGTCTAGGGCTGCAACTAACGATTATTTTGCAAAGTGATTAATCTGTAGATTATTTTTTAGATTAATTGATTAATAATTGAATAACCAAAGGTTCCTTAAAAAAGACTGATTTACGAAATTAAACCAGTTTCCACTTTAGCAGTTCTGAACCGACCATATTGATATACAGAATATTTTTTTAAATTTTAAATGAGGATTTTTAGATATTTGTTTTTACAATTTTGATAAAGTTACTGCTCTAATTGGGTGGCTCTTTCATTTAAAGGCATGTTGTATAGTCTCTACTCTCCAGTTAATGATAAATTGGTTACCAAATTAGTCGGTGATTATTTAAATAATTAATTAATCACAATTAAGTCGATTAATGTTTCAGCCCTAGTTAAAACCACTGGTGTGGTCAGAACCACCAGGAGCTTGACCCACCTTCCCATTGGCACATTGTCTCCTTTCAA